AACAACGAGCAAGATCCGTTGCTCGTATGTGTACAGTCTGGAACAAAACACTCAGGCATGACGGCGTAACGTTACGATTATATTGTAAGACTATAGAAAAAATGACAGACGTTAGCTTCAGTAAAGTTAGCTTCATTCATAGAAACAAAATGTATGACGTCACATTTGCGCCTTTTGGGTTTGTAGTCTTTGTAATTTCGTATTTTCACAGTCTTATACCTCAACAGTTTTACATCAAACTGCGACTTTTTTTTACTTTAAAATGTATCTTTTAAATTGACAAACATCATATGTGTAATTCAGGGCACAATTCAAACGAGATCAAAATATTTGTTGTCTCTCGCCATTGACTACCATACAATATTTTTCCGAAATAAGGTCGACGGTGGTCAACAGGAAGGGGAGGGACTTGGGCTCTCTATATTGCCTCTAGATGTCCCTTTACTATTAAATATAAGATGCAGAAACATTAAACATCACATGATCAACATTTTTAGGAGAAATCACATATTGTAGCCTAATTTTTTTTTTAAAGCAGACTTTCTCATTGAATTCCTCAATCAGTTTCTCACCGTATGCTATTTAACAATGATAGATTAACTTTCAAGAAAATGAAAATTACCAATAATTTTCACTAAATTAACAACATTCATTTTCTGTGACAAATGCTGATAATAGCAGGTCAATTACAGCAGACCGATGGATGGATGATACAGAAAGGAGTTAGAATAATCACAAAATAAAAGCAAGGAAAATGAAAACAGTTAGGCTATAAAATAAATTAAAAGAGATATATGATACAGTTATAAAATGAATTAAAAGAGTAAAAAGATGATACATAAACTCCTCATCTGGCAAAACACCGGTGTATCATGTTTTTCACAGCTCCCAGTTTTACTGTGAGATTTTCCCATGGTGATTAAACTGTGTCTGTGGTGATCTTTCGTGCGCGCCTAAGAAATCTATTGGACATCTCAGATGGACCCAATTTTTCCCTAAAACCGGACTGGAGGAGCTCTAGGACTGACTCACGGGGTAACCTCGGGTTCACTGCCCCATCAGTCCGCACCCCAAAAACCCATTTTTTCGGAAGCTCCAGGAATGGAATCGATCCAGTCCACACCCCACAGAACCTCCAGTTTAATTACACAACAAACTCAATACACTCACTTTACACATCAAACTTGGACTTATGCAGAGTGTGATGGACATTGTCCAAGATGGAAAAACACTTGCTAAGGGTCCTCCTCTCTGCCACAGATGATAAGGATTCAAGTTTCACACCCATCACAGAAGCAGCCTTCTTCCCCAGCTTATCCAGCCGGATGGCGTCCCTTTTCTTAATGCGCTCCCCCAACACACCACAGCATAGAAGAGGATGCTGGTGATAGCCGTCTGGTAAAACATCTGCAGGAGCTTCTGACAGATATTCAATTCAATTAATATTGAAGGACCCTAGCCTTCTCAGAAAAAAAGAGTCGACTCTGTCCCTTCCTGTATAGGGCATCTATGTTCTAGGTATTTGAATGGACCACCTCCACACAGTCGCCTTCGATAAACACAGGCTGCAGTTTGGGGCCTCGGTCTCTAGAAGTCGACCACCATCTCCTTCGTTTTTGTAGTGTTGAGCTGTAGTTGGTTATAGCTACAGAAAGTCCATACAGAATCTATGGACTTTTTGCTCATTTATTTTAAGACAATCTGAAGAATGGCTTGGCTTTATATGGTAATATGTGTTAAACCAACATATTCTCATCCCAAGGCGTCGTAACAGGTAAGTCAATGGATGCATTGGTCACTTCTTTATCCTGAAATAAAACTTTATAGACAGATCAGTAATGAATATGTATGTAGACTACTTATAGAGAGGTACACTGTAACCTATTCTTATCGTTCTTTCTCATTATGAATTTGACCAAATAAGAGTTTGCATGTAATATTAAACACAAGCGTTCAAAGCATGTTTATTAATGTTACAACTCTGAAAAAGAAACCTATCTGTGTCAAAATCACTTTATTGTAAATGATCTCAGTGTGGAGCAGTTCTTGTGCTGTAAACAAGAGCAAATGATGCAAGATCATCATGATGACAGGACACACTAGAAGTGCAAGACCTACAGTATAAAACAAAAAACAATTGGATACCCCTTCATTTGTTTACATCAGTATACACCTAAAAACATGTTTATTATATGTATATTGATGTACACAAATATTGACCAATAATAGAATATCATTTATGCAAATCACGTAAGTATTCAGTCTGTAACAGCATTGAATTAAAATACAGTACTCTGTAACTCTACCTTGGATTTCATTTGTATCTGTAATGAATGGGAAAGAGCACTTTGTATGTTGTATCGTGTGTATGTGCAGCTGAAATGTGGGGATAAGAATGATTTGATGGGATGAACAGATCAGATGAAGGATAACTTTGCATAGTTCCCAGATCAGATCAGATTATTCTACTCTCTCCATGCGTAAAACCTGAGATATCACGTTCCAGAACCACCATCTCCTGATGTAGATGAATATCTTGAATTTCAGAGGCATTTTTACTGTATAATAACAGATACAGTGAAAGCACACTCTCAATGCATGTTTTTGTTTGGGTTTTGCAAAGCGAGTGACATCTATTAAGTCAGTTTGCACTTTGCACATTGTTAAAACTGATATAATCATATATAATACATATTGCAAACCCCTACTGCATGCACAACAAACTCACACAATCACAAATACGGTTTCATAGATTATTTGAATTAAACCTCTAGTGAAGCATGCAAAATGTCACGCATGTAAACAAGACTACACAGCAACTCAGCCAAAAGATCTCATCTCAAAATGTAATAGCAGAAGAAATAGACATGTTTAAGATGTTTTAATGGCCTTAAAACCAGGAGGTTCTAGTTTCAATATTTTAATGATCTGCGGGAATCCTGTCATAAAGCAAACGCAGTGGGAGAGAAAATACTGTAAAAGCAAAGTGTTTTGCTTCTGTAAAAAAGCAGCTTGTTCGGTTCACGCTCACCTCACAGAAGAAGATTATATTGCTAAAGTTGTTTCACGAAAATAGAAACACAGAAGTTTTTATCAGCTCACTCATACTGAGAGATGAGGATGAAGCTCTTGATGTGATGAGAAGGTTGATGTCGCAGAAAACACAAGAACAGCAGAAAAGAGGCATGATGAACAGTATCTGCATCTTTACAAAGCAGTAAAATCATCATGGCAACAGCTATGATCCTCATAAACTCTGAAGAGGAAATTACAAGTGCCCTTACCGTCCCCCTAATGTGCATCTCGATCAGATAACTGCTAATATTAGATAAATACATCTCAAAAACTGAGTTCAGGAGCTTTGAATTCAGAAAGACTAAACCTCTCATTCTCCTCGAGAATGACGACTCGATCTATCAGACTTAGAGAAAATAAAGCTTGAAATCAAGTAGGACAGATCATGGTTATCATCGAAATTTTGAACTTTAATAAAAGACTAGCACAATATTATGTTTCAAAATGATGGATATGACACGAATATGAAAAAAGGCAGATTTTATATCAATCAGTAACAGTTTATTACCGTATCCCAAATAATAAAGCTCATATACAACACAGGATTGAATGCAAGTGTTTCTGACATGTCAGAAGACCTCTGAAAACTGGTCAAGTAACAGTGGGACACCTTCTAAACGTCCTGTAAACGTTTGTAATACACTATACAAACTATATCAGTACCATAACATTCAAGTAGAGCTAGAAGTAATAAAAAAAAACGAAATCAAGTTTTACTCGCCGAACTCACCAATCATTTGAGTCGGAGGAATGAGGTTAGTGTGTTTTCCTGAATATAACGTCTCTCTTGTATTGTGTCTGTGGTAAACACTAGAGTTCAGGCAGTCAAACGGTTTCTACTCTCCTTCATGATGAAGAGATGAAGAGGAGAAGATCAGGTAATCAATGGTGTAAGTGCATTACTGTTTGATCTTCAGTTTGGATGTTTTCATTATTAAGGAGAAGGCAGTCGTGGACTTATGGTTAGAGAGTCGGACTCTTAACACAATGGTTGATGGTTCGACTCTCAATAACGGCAGGAATCGACTGAGATGCCCTTGAGCGAGGCACCTAACTCTCTGTGTGTGTGTGTGTGTACTACTCCTAATGTATGTGCATAAACTTGGATGTGTTAAATTCAAAGGACAAATTCTGAGCATGGGCTCCAAACTGGGCCTTCATGTCACTTCACTTTAACTTTCACTTTAACAAATCATTGCTGGCCTCTACTGGAAAGACATTGAAATTGAAATGGAAAATTAAAAATATCAAAACCATCTTTAGCATTAAGAAAATAATTATGCCAGTATATAATATATTTGCATATATGCAAATCGCTCTTTGTTTTTAGGTGAAGTGTGTAATTCTAGCATCTACAAACAGTTCTGCAAAAATAAAATCTATCCATCATATATTCAGATTATGCTGATAACACACATACAGGAATATTCACACAGGAGTACGTCAATATCTTTTTCATAAAGCTTAACCACATTATGGACCGTCAGTGTTGCAGTGTTGTTTTTTTTAAGATGCTCAAACAAGTTGTTCAATGTTACACACATCACCTTAAAATGTTTTACATCTAAACTGTTGCCATTTGTGAAAATGTGCCATAAACGCAATGCAAGGCCCACATCCAATGAAGCACAAACATCTGGAAAACATTTTAAATACAGAGATACAGCTTCGGCTGTTTACATTAATTAGTTTGCCTAGAAAAAGGGGGGAAAGGACAAGAAATTCATATTATCAGAATAAGATTAACATAAAATAACCATGGCTCCCAAACTTACTAAAATAGACCATCAATTAATTTTAGGTTTTAATACATGACATGTCAAACTAGAAAACCTTTACATCTCGCCTGAATTAAACATGCAAAAGCCTCTATAGCAAAAACACTGGATTGAAAGACTTCGTTGATTTCAACAACAGATTCCAGGATTGCAAATGATTCCAGTTAGCATATTTACTTTAGAAGCCATAAAAATACAAAAATAAAAATAAAATAAAAATAAAATAAACTGTCACTGAGAAAAAATACTATATTAACTACACTAAAACTAAATTATAGGGAAAACTAAATTAAATTGAAAATAGAAATAAAAACTAAATTCAAAACTATAAACCTGCATCACAAATAATATAAAGGGATGGAGAAGAGGAAAGAAAGTTTACAGATGGATTTGTTCATTTACAAAACAGTTATTATTAAATTTCCCGGGATGAACGCGCTGCGTGAAAGGGGCTTTATTGAAACAGAAACCCACTGTTGATTATGACTGAAGAATGAAGATGATGATGAAACCTGTACAGTATATGGTATAAAATCTGCTGCTAGATTCATCTCTGGGACTCTGATGGCCCGATTCTTCAAAAGTCTTCACACCCGTTACCTTTTCACGAGCCTCATCTCTCTAGATCTGCATTGGTTGTTTCACCTGCTTGTTGATTCCAGAGAGAGTTTATTATCATCACCAGATCTCGAATCGTGGGTCAGTGAGGAAGAGCTCTCTGGATTCAATTCTGTTGTTGAAGAGCCTACAGACACAAACACACACTAATATTAGAAACAGCAGCTGAAACAAACACACCATCAGGAACAGAATTCAGATTTGTAGACATAAATTGTTCCAATGTTTTAATTCTTTTTAACGGATGATAAATTGTAGTAGATAGCAAAGGAAAAGCAGTAACAAAATGGCCTTGAATCAAAGAGAAAGCACTTCAACTCAGAGATCAGTTTTATTTTTGAGCCTCATGTTTGTTGCATACTATAAGACTTCAGCTCAAATAACTTTAGAAGGGAATGTGATTCTGTGACGTTCAGACACACACCTTAATGTCTTTATGTCACTGTTGCGACAGACGACACTGTAGATTCTCTGAGCCCCAGTGTCAGTGATGCTATTGCCACTAAAACTGCAGATCAAACAAACAAATCAGACAAAATGCTAAATTATTACATCCTACTTGTTTGTGTCTCAGTCACTCACTCAATGTTTTGTGCTTTGTGGAGGTTTGTGAGCAGCAGATCCAGGCTGGGATCAGTGAGACGGCACTGACTCAGATCCAGTTCAGTCAGTCCTTCAGAATATTCCAGAATCAGCGCCAGACCTCGACAGACCTGCGGCTCCAGAGGAGTCTGACTGAGGTCCACCTCGTCACCCAGAGCTCGAGAAAGAGACTCCGCTTCCTCAGGACTCACATGAGCCAGAAACTGAAGCAGCAGAGATTTATCACAGCTGAAACACAAAGAAAGAGAAATATTGATATTATATTTCTGTCTGTTTGTGTATGAATGTAATCTGTGGATGTTTCTCACCAGAGTTTAACAGCATGTAACACTGGGAACAGCTGGTCCATTCCAGCTGTGTTAATCTCACAGTCCTGTAGAATCAGCTGTGTGTTTGTGTGTGTGTGTGTGTGAGCTCTCTGAATGACTGTGGTCACCACACGGCAGTCCTCAGTGGTCAGATGTAGAGTATCAGAGTGTGTGTGTGTTGTCAGATCCAGAGCAGAACGGCAGGAGAAGTCCAGCTTGTGTTGCAGGACGGAGAGCAGAACTGAGGAAAACTCTTGCTGGACATCAGAGACACTGCAGCAGTGAAGCATCTTCAGTAACAGCAGCCTGTCAACACTGAACACACACACACACACACACACACACATCATCATCATCATCAACACTGCAGCAGTGAAGCATCTTCAGTAACAGCAGCCTGTCAACACTGAACACACACACACACACACACACACACACACACACACACACACACACACACACACATCATCAACACTGCAGCAGTGAAGCATCTTCAGTAACAGCAGCCTGTCAACACTGAACACACACACACACACACCATCATCAACACTGCAGCAGTGAAGCATCTTCAGTCACAGCAGCCTGTCAACACTGAACACACACACACACACACACACACACATCATCGACACTGCAGCAGTGAAGCATATTCAGTAACAGCAGCCTGTCAACACTGAACACACACACACACACACACACACACACATCATCGACACTGCAGCAGTGAAGCATCTTCAGTAACAGCAGCCTGTCAACACTGAACACACACACACACACACACACACACACATCATCGACACTACAGCAGTGAAGCATCTTCAGTAACAGCAGCCTGTCAACACTGAACACACACACACACACACACATCATCAACACTGCAGCAGTGAAGCATATTCAGTAACAGCAGCCTGTCAACACTGAACACACACACACACACACACATCATCGACACTGCAGCAGTGAAGCATCTTCAGTAACAGCAGCCTGTCAACACTGAACACACACACACACACACACACATCATCGACACTGCAGCAGTGAAGCATCTTCAGTAACAGCAGCCTGTCAACACTGAACACACACACACACACACACACATCATCGACACTGCAGCAGTGAAGCATCTTCAGTAACAGCAGCCTGTCAACACTGAACACACACACACACACACACACACACACATCATCGACACTGCAGCAGTGAAGCATCTTCAGTAACAGCAGCCTGTCAACACTGAACACACACACACACACACACACACACACACACACACACACACACATCATCGACACTGCAGCAGTGAAGCATCTTCAGTAACAGCAGCCTGTCAACACTGAACACACACACACACACACACACACACACACACACATCATCGACACTGCAGCAGTGAAGCATCTTCAGTAACAGCAGCCTGTCAACACTGAACACACACACACACACACACACACACACACATCATCGACACTGCAGCAGTGAAGCATCTTCAGTAACAGCAGCCTGTCAACACTGAACACACACACACATCATCAACACTGCAGCAGTGAAGCATCTTCAGTAACAGCAGCCTGTCAACACTGAACACACACACACACACACACACACACACACATCATCGACACTGCAGCAGTGAAGCATCTTCAGTAACAGCAGCCTGTCAACACTGAACACACACACACACACACACACACACACACACACACACACACACACACACACACATCATCGACACTGCAGCAGTGAAGCATCTTCAGTAACAGCAGCCTGTCAACACTGAACACACACACACACACACACACACACACACACACACACACACACATCATCGACACTGCAGCAGTGAAGCATCTTCAGTAACAGCAGCCTGTCAACACTGAACACACACACACACACACACACACACACACACACACACACACATCATCGACACTGCAGCAGTGAAGCATCTTCAGTAACAGCAGCCTGTCAACACTGAACACACACACACACACACACACACACACACCATCATCAACACTGCAGCAGTGAAGCATCTTCAGTAACAGCAGCCTGTCAACACTGAACACACACACACACACACACACACACACACACACACACATCATCGACACTGCAGCAGTGAAGCATCTTCAGTAACAGCAGCCTGTCAACACTGAACACACACACACACACACACACACACACACACACACACACACACACATCATCGACACTGCAGCAGTGAAGCATCTTCAGTAACAGCAGCCTGTCAACACTGAACACACACACACACACACACACACACACACACACACACACACATCATCATCATCAACACTGAACACACAAACATATGATGGCCATTAGGCTTTTATATCACACAAAATCTGTTGAATGTAACAAACAGTCGAGAGAAAGAGGAGAAGAGAGAAATAAGGAGTTTCTCAAATGAAAGGCTGCATATCTCGATCACACAACACTGGCGAATTCAATTTGTAGGATCTTTGGAAAGCAGCCTTTGAGATCACGGATGATTGCCATTTAGTACTACATTAAGTCAGAAAATATAAAGATTTTTAATATATAGGTTTTTTTCTTCAAGATATATTATTAATATGAGATCCACTAGACTCCAGTGTGTAACGCTTCAGAAGGACTGGTAAAGGAGGAACGCAGCCTTCGCATTGAGAAGCCTCTCCAGAGTAAAGCAGCGAGACCTCATGCGGGACACATGTCTGAAGAGAGGCACAATGCTCTCCAGCTCTTCCTCTGGGATGGAGGTCCACAGCAGGTCGAGTGAAACTGCAGTGCAGTGTTGCAGTGTGAAGCGCAGCGCCGCACAGTGGCCAGAGTCCAGATCTCTGCTCTGCAGGCTGATGTAGTTCTGCACTGAACTCAACAGACTGAACACACACTCAACAGAGCCGCTCTCATAGATCTCTGTGATTACAGACAGCATGAAGACAGAGCTCATCCTGTACACACACACACATCATCATCATGATTAAAGATTGATCTTTTTATCACTACTTATTCAGTTCCAGATTTTATGGGAAAAAAGAAAACCTTTAAATCTTGCCATTCATTTGTAGGAAGTGTTTTTGAGATAGAAATAATGTATTGAACAGCTTACCGTTTAAACTGAATCCTGTTCAGAAATGGCAGGATTTCTCTGATGTTGCACCGAATGTCGCTCTTTCTGAAGTTCACAGTGATTTGTTGAATTCTGTGCCGCAGGAAATAGTGAAGCTCTTCCCAGCTCAAGGAACAGGAAGTCAGATCTCCGCCCACTTTCTGCAGGAAGTGCTGAGTCAGTTCCTCTTCCTGAGCTTCATAGACACATTCAACCAGCTTCTGGAGACTCTCTTTAGACGCTCTACACATACAGAATTAACTGATTTATCTCTATGCCATGATAAATATAAGGTCAAACACTGCTGAAATGTGTCTTATAGTCTTATACCTGAGAATCACTGGGGCCTGGTGACACAATAGGACACATAGAGAAACAGACGCCATCTTGTGTTCAGTCAGGTTCAAACACTGGACAGTCCAGCGTCTCAGAAAGATGGCCAAACTGCTCAGGACTCTCGACCACTTCCTCTCTGACAGCCGTTCACCATTCAGATCAAGTGTGAGTTCATTAACAGTGACGGGAGTTTGAACCCTCATTGACCTCAACACCTGCACTATTCTCAGCACCATATAAACACTCAGCCTGAAAAACAACTGTAAATATTAGCAGGAAAATTAATCAAGATCAACATTTGAAATGGTTATTAATAATCCTGTCTGTACCTGAGTGTGTGTATGTGTGTGATGTGTCTGAAGAGAAGCCTGGTTCCTCTTATAGAGATGGCTTTAGGTTTTAGAGAGAGGTTGAGTCTGTCAGAAGAGAAGCGTAAGACTCGTCCCACAGACCTGCAGGATTTACTGGGTAAACTTCCTTCCAGACTGACGGAGGAGCCGAGAAGCTCCAACAGTGAAGTCACCAGCTCTGGATTCTCTCTGAGCTCAACCACTTCAACTAAAGCTAACAAACACTGCTCAGAACAGCTGAAAAATACAATAAATACTTGATTAAAATGACTAGATCAATTAATATGACTCATTACAATTGGACAAAGAAATGAACAATGCATTGTATTTCATGTGTAAAGAATCTGAAGACTCTTAGGGGCGGTTCACACAGAACGTGTTTTTCCATTCACTGCGCTACTTGTCCATTGTTTTTCAGTGTAATCATGCGCTAGACGGACGTGTGTGACCGTTGCGCTCGCGTCTCGCACAGGCCCGTTCTAGGATTGTAGGACTTGGGGGGAATTTTGAAAACTTTGTTGGTCACACTTGATTCAATTTATGATTCGTTGTTTTGTTTTTCTTTTCTTTTTTGGCAAATTCAGAATGATTCACTTTGATTTCTAATGACATTGTATTAAATACTAGATAAAATGCTTTTTTCCCCCAGTTTTTTTAATACCTTCTTTGTCTTTTTAATACTTTCTATGAAAAATAAACTACTTAGTATTGTTTATTGCATGAACAGTAACTTGAGAGGAACTTTAAATATATGTACAGGTCAAGTCACATGATGTTTGTTTACATATAGACCACAAGACATAATAAGTCAATTTACACACAAGATCCAGTTCATATGTGTTGTAATGAATCTGAATGATCAAAAGCTGCAAACATTCACTGATGCTCAAGGCAACACAACACATCAAGAGCACTACACTGGATGCAGCGCCACAACAAACTCCTGACAGTAAACTGAAGCTCTTTTCTACTCCTGACGTACTTCCAGCGCTCGCGCTATTTCTGACACAAAGAACAAACTTGCTCTTGAAGTCGCTTTGTCCCGTCCAGTCTAGATACATTATGAGTGTCAGGGTTCTGTCACCAAACTAAGAATAAGATCAACCTGAGAACACTGACACTGTAAGTTGTTGTAGATTCTCTCACCTCAGCTGTGAGATGTGGGACAGACACTGAAGGAAACTCTTCATTTCACTCTCTTCCTCTGAACATCCGCTCAGCTTTACTGGTTTCTTCTCTGTCTGGAGTTTCAGCACTTCCAGGAGGACGGAGGTCTTTCTCTGTGAGAGATCTATGATCCAGACATCAGGAGACTGGAAAACTGACTGTAATGCTGGAAGGAAACTCCTGCCTGTTTGAGTCTCATAGTTCTTCACATGTGAGTAAAGATCCAGCAGGAAATCACTCTGTTTAATTCTGTTAGTCTCTTGATAAGGAAAAGATGTGTAGGTGCAGACTGATGATAACAGTTTCAGCATCTGCTCTCCTGTCTGTGTCTCAGTCTCTGCTGCTTTAGTGAAGAGTCTCAGAAGAAACTGCACTGCAAGACTGATATTCATATAGTCAAACCTGTTTCCAAAAGAAAAAAATACTATAAACAGACATAAATGATCACAGAACTCCGACAAAGACAAAAACGCAGAAATTCTATTTGTGCTTTAAAGCAAATTTCAGCTTTCTTTGCTATAAACAGTTTAAAAAGTGCATCGGATGAAAGGAAAGAAAATATTTAAAACTCTAATCATTGTAAAAAAAAGATTCTAAATCAATATAAAACATTTATTTCCATAAACAGATCAAGATACAGTGAAGTGATACTGATCGAGAAGTAGGTACAGTAAGTGAATATCCAAAAGTTCAGTTACCTCAGCTGTGAGATGTAGGACAGACACTGAAGGAAACTCTTCATTTCACTCTCTTCCTCTGAACATCCGCTCAGCTCTACTGGTTTCTTCTCTGTCTGGAGTTTCAGCACTTCCAGGAGGACGGAGGTCTTTCTCTGTGAGAGATCTATGATCCAGACATCAGGAGACTGGAAAACTGACTGTAATGCTGGAAGGAAACTCCTGCCTGTTTGAGTCTCATAGTTCTTCACATGTGAGTAAAGATCCAGCAGGAAATCACTCTGATAAACATAATAATACCACTCTTCATGAAAAGGGAAGGTTTTGTAACTGCACACAGACGACAGCAGAGTAGAGAATCTTGTTCCTGTAACTGTGACATTTTCAACTGCAGCAACACTGAGATTCAGCAGGAGTTTCACTGCAGACTTCTTCATTTCTTTATCACCATAGAACCCAAACTTGATCAAATACAGAGAAATAAAAATCCTGTTAATTTATGACAACATACAGCATTTATAAATCAACTATATAGTACACAAAAACAATTATTCTGATAATAAGAAACATAACAGCAACATTTATATAAGAGGACAGAATCTAGTGACATTTATCACACTATTTTCCAAGCTCCATATACAGTATAACGTGTAGCGTCTGGACTGAGTCACGATGACCGATTCAGTTCTAAACTTCAGAAAGCTTTGAACCTTTTTGGACTTCTTCATGTAAATCACAGGCCTAGCGCCGATGAGTCTGGATCAAATTTCCCCCCTTGTCACTTTAGTGTCCTGGCAGAGGCTGAACAGAAACTCCTTCATGAGCTTCAAAAAGATCTTTATAAACTCAACTTCCCTTCCACGCCAGGAACGAAAGGCCATGTGTCTTAGAAACTGGAGAAACACACCCAACATACAGAGACACACACATTCTTTCCATTTAACTCTTAATTAAGTCATCCCAGAATGTATATGATATATTCCTGTGTGTATGAATGTCCCCAGCTTATATTAGCCTAGTTACAACTTTCTAGTTGTGTTAGTTAAACTCTCAGTGCTTATAGTCAAGTGTGAGAGTGTTTCTCTGCTTTGATATCTTCCAGACATATCTTTCTTGGTATCGAAATATTCCTCTCGTTACGCCTTAATTAATGATGTGTGTTACAATAACATGTATAATACTATGTTTACCATCCTTTGGTGTAAAAATGACCAATTCTGACATCATCATTAAACATGCAGATTCGACTGTCAGAAGGAGACGAAGAAACTCTCTCCCGCTAAACGTTCCTAACTACTATTGGCCATTTCACACAAAATAGGCCTGGACTGATTTATCCTTAAAGGAATAGTTCACCCAAAATGTTGTCATCATTTACTCCCCCTTGTGTTGTTCCAAACCTGTCACCTTCATTTATAAAGCGCTTTTAACAGTATGGATTGTTTCAAAGCAGCTTTACAGTGATAATATATATAACCGTAACATATTGTTTAGGCTTTGCCACAGCTCTAGGATAAAGTTATTGTCCAGGTAAAGATAGTCTTGATTGATTCACTTCCGTTGTGAAGATCACAGCGCGTTTTCTACTCGAGCATGTGAATATTATTGTTTTTCTCAACATGAAAGTGAAACAATATAAACAAGATAAATATTATGAATTATTATAAATATTTTTTTTTAGAATTCAATTTACAAACAATCAGTCATCACAATCCATAAACAAAGAATATACATCAAATAATTACAAATAACATAATATGAATAACAAGTATGAAATTAATAAAAAAAAAAACAGACTTACAAACTTCATTAATGATAAGGATAACAGGAATGTTTGATTATATATCAGTTATTGACGTAGCTTTCTTATTTTTTTTTTTACCAATTTAAGAGACTCAAAATATATGTCAGTTTCAATTTGGAATAATTTTAAATATGGTCTTGATTTGGAAAATTTTGCTTTATGAATATGGAACCTAGTAAAATAAAGAGATTTCCCTTCAAGTGTGATTTGTTGTTTTAGATGCCATATAATTTTCAACACTTTTCCAGAATACAAAATGAACAATAAAAGAGATGAGTAAACGATTCTTGTTCTGTCTTACAAAAACTACAATAATTCTCAACAGGCGTGAATTTTGAGATAAACAAGTTTGTGGGATATATAGCCTATATTATGGAATATTTTCAAATGTAATTCCCTAACTTTGTTTGTGATACAAAATCTAAAAGGAACAAGCCACGCCCCATGCCAATTAATCTCAGTATAATGAGGATTCCAGAAAAATTTCCCACAAGGTGTTATTTATTTTCTTTAAATTTAGAAAGCATTTTCTGACATGCTTATTATCTGTACAATTGCTGCTGATAATATCCATACCGTTTATATAACGAGTAAAATTAAAGCCAGGAACTTTTCATTAGTTCTAATATGCCATTAGGTATAGATTTGAAAACTGAGTTATATTCTTTGAACGTTATCGGGAATGCCTTCTATGGAAGTAAAATAATGCCAAATATCTTTGAAGCAAAAAAGCCTGTTGAATTGCACTAGTTGAAAAAGATATGCATTGCATTAACCATGCTAGCATTTTAATGCATGTATTTTTAGGGCTTGCGTTTTTATGGGCTGAAATTCAACATGGTTGAATATTTAAGCTGTGAATATTTCAATTCAAAACATTTCAAACACATTTTCATTTTAAAAATTCAATAATCCATATTCACCTTTCATATTTCACTTCCAAAATATTCAAACTGTTTAAAAATACAACCTATAATATTCAACGGGCAATTTTCGGTCCATTTTATTTCGCTTTGCAAATTCGCTTCCACAAATTAAGTGGTTCAGATTCAACAGTAAATTCAACGTTGACATCCAGGAACTGCAGGAAAAGCTTAGGCTATACCTCCTGCTGGTGAGGTCGACTAACAGCAGATGGAGATTATGCTCGGTAATCGACTGCTTTTCCTGCAGCTCCTGGATGTCAACGTTGAATTTACTGTTGAATTTGAACCACTTAATTTGTGGAAGCGAATTTGCAAAGCGAAATAAAATGGACCGAAAATTGCCTGTTGAATATTATAGGTTGTATTTTTAAACAGTTTGAATATTTTGGAAGTGAAATATGAAAGGTGAATATGGATTATTGAATTTTTAATAATGAAAATGTGTTTGAAATGTTTTGAATTGAAATATTCACAGCTTAAATATTCAACCATGTTGAATTTCACCCCATAAAAACGCAAGCCCTAAAAATACATGCATTAAAATGCAAGCATGGTTAATGCAATGCATATTTTTTTCAAGTAGTGCAATTCAACAGGCTTTTTTGCTTCAAAGATATTTGGCATTATTTTACTTTCATAGTTTTTTTCTCTGAGAAAGGATTCATAATTAAGTAATTGGTTATTACAATCAAAAAGGTCTTTTAAAAAGATAATATCTCTACCGATCAATTTCTGCAAATAGAGTGACTTGTCCCCTTTAGTGATGCATTCATTATTCCATAAGAGGGACTTGCGTGAAGAAAAGTTGTGAGAATGACACAGCTTCCAGGCCAAAATAAAATTGGGATAGTTTTAGCGGCAATCTTGTAATATTGCAGTTACATTTCAATACAAATTTTATACACTATTAAAAATATTGTTGGGGATAAAGTACCATAAGGACTCAAGGTGCTCAAACATTCCTTCAACCATTTCACCTTAAAGGTATAATAATTCAAGTCCCAAAAGTCCAAAAGTTCAAATCCACCTTCATCTTTAGAACCAGAGAGCACCGCTTTTCTTACATGATGGTGTCTGTGTTTCCACACAAAATTCGTAAATATGATATCTTTACATGTTGAATCATGGACATTAAGAGAGAGGGCAGGATAGACAAATCTTGAAATCCCTTTTGCTTTAGTCAAAAGAATCCTTTCTAAAATAGAAATGTCTCTTTGAAGCCATAAATTCAGTATTGTTTTAGTTTTTTTCAATTTAGGTGAAAAATTAAGTTGTTGACGTTCCTTGTGATCCTTGCAGATATGAATAATACCTAAATATTTGACACATTTCTTAACGGGTATATTAAACATGTTTTCCTCTTCAGTCTGATACAGACATAAGATTTCACATTTAGATTTGTTAAGTGTTAAACCCAAAGCAGCTGAAAATTGGTCGATTAGGGTTATAGCATTATCAATCTGATGTGTCACTCAAAAAGAGAGCTGTATCCTCCGCTAATTGAGTTACTCTAATTCCCTTGCCAAAATAGTCTATCCTTTAATAATAGGACTATGTCTAATATGTAATGACAATAATTCAACCACCAGCAGGAACAGAAACAGTGAAATAGGACAGCCCTGGAGAACTGATCTCAGTACAGGAAATCTTTTTGGGGTGTTTGGATATAAAATCACAGAACTATCAATATTGTTATAAAGCATTTCAACTGTAGATATGCAATTTTGTCCGAAATCAAAAATTTGAAATGCTTTAAGTAGAAAATGATGTTCTACCGTATAAAATGCTTTATAAAAATCAAGCAATACTGTCAGTGCATCAGTATTGATGTTATCAGAATAGTCCAGCAGGTCAAAAACAAGTCTTATATTAGAGCTAATGTGACGGTTAGACATAAAACCTGTTTCACTTATTATCTCATGAAGACCTCTTTTCATTAGACTCTTTTATAGACTTCTTTAGACATTTCAAGATATGTTGGTACATTTTATAGCAACATATATATTGCTATAAAATGTACCAACATATCTTGAAATGTCTAAAGAATTAGAGGTGATGTTATTATCAATTTTAAGAGTAGTTAAAAAATATTTCTCTTGCGATTTCGTTTCTCTAAAGCAAAGAAATAACTCGATTTTCGTTCCCCTTGTTCCAGCCGTTTTGGGACCTTACAAATGCACCTTTAGCCATTTCAATATACATATTATCTATATTTCCTCTTTTCCTCTTTTCATTTTTTCATTATTGTTTTTTCTTCCTCTGAAAGATTATCCTTATTCTTTAAATATTTAATTTATCCATAATACTTATTTCTTTGGCTATATTATTATTTTAATTACTTTACTTCTTTTAATTGCTATTTCTCTAATTTTAAACTTGAAAAAAATCCCATTTATGTATGTGATTCACTTTTTGCTGTTTTTTTTTTACTAAATCACATAACTCATGATCTTTTAATAAATTATTATTTAGTTTCCAATAACCATGTATTACCATTTTGTTGTTTTGTTCCTGCTAAATGGATTGAAATGAAAGTATGATCAGAACATGGGGAAAGCTGTGTGATGATTCTGACACAAACTGCAGAAAAGAGGGAGATATAAAGAGGGAGATATAAAGAGGGAGATATAAAGAGGGAGATATAAAGAGGGAGATATAAAGAGGGAGATATAAAAAGGGAGATATAAAGAGGGAGATATAAAGAGGGAGATATAAAGAGGGAGATATAAAGAGGGAGATATAAAAAGGGAGATATAAAGAGGGAGATATAAAGAGGGAGATATAAAGAGGGAGATATAAAGAGGGAGATATAAAGAGGGAGATATAAAGAGGGAGATATAAAGAGGGAGATATAAAGAGGGAGATATAAAGAGGGAGATATAAAGAGGGAGATATAAAGAGGGAGATATAAAGAGGGAGATATAAAGAGGGAGATATAAAGAGGGAGATATAAAGAGGGAGATATAAAGAGGGAGATATAAAGAGGGAGATATAAAGAGGGAGATATAAAGAGGGAGATATAAAGAGGGAGATATAAAAAGGGAGATATAAAGAGGGAGATATAAAGAGGGAGATATAAAGAGGGAGATATAAAGAGGGAGATATAAAAAGGGAGATATAAAGAGGGAGATATAAAGAGGGAGATATAAAGAGGGAGATATAAAGAGGGAGATATAAAGAGAGAGATATAAAGAGGGAGATATGAGCCATAGATCAGTTCTAGACTGTAAGGATCTACTGACGTTGCTCCGGGTAAATTAGTTAATGTCAGGGTTTAAAAAACGCCAAACTTCTATAATTGCCGGTTGTTCACAAATATATGCAGTCCTTTTGGATCTTGAATGTGGGATTAATCTTACAGGTACTCTATACAAGATCATCTGGAGCATCATTATAATCGCCTCCAATAATCAAGTGTGCATCCTTATATTGGTTTTTAAAGGCTTCAAGTTTCATACAAAGTTGTAAAAAGATTATTTTAGCTTGAGAAAGAAGGAATTGTCTAATTTGAAAACCAAGATTATCCATCTACCCTCATTTGAGGTCACTGATTCAATTATATCTCCTTTAAATGTATTAAGTAGAATGGCAACACTTGACAGAAATAACATAGATCTCCTCACTGTGCTTTCCAAAACTTCACATCATTGTCCAACGATTGAATCTCCTGTAAAAATATCAAATCAGCATTTTTTCATCTACTGAATAAAAGGATTGATTTCCTTTTGGTGCGATCACGAATACCCCTGACATTCAAAGATATTATTTTTAAGGAACTAAAATGGAAGTCTGTCATAATTTAAGAAAAGAAAAACACTGAACTGGATGTCTGTTAAAGTTATAGGAACTAGTTAAAGAAAAAATACTCCGAGATAGGAAATATCAGAGATTATCTTACCGGCGCCAAGTAACAAACTCTGAACACGAGTACCTCAATTAACTCCTAGAATTCTTATGTGAACTATTGGAGTGAACATATTGCTCTTTTAATTGTATACAAGGAGAGCAAATTAACCCATTAAGATTGGGTGTCATAATTAACTTGAAAATTGTACCTCACATTAAGGGAAGTTTAACAAGTTATGAGGTGTGTCACACAGCGTTAATGATGACAGCAGGACCTGCCATTTAGTTTCCTTTCCGTCAGCTCTTTTGCTCCTCTTTTGGTATTGCTCACACACCAGAACATTTTGGCAAAACCTCAGCAGATTCATCATTGACCATATTTATAAAGACTTTGTCTTATTGTGGAAGAATGTTGCATTTTGCTTTTATAGAAGTCAAAGTAAAGAAAAGATACTCCATTATAAATGTATTACTTCTTTTGGCAAAATTTCACATTCATAAATGTAAATTCAGCGCTAAAAAAAACTAATTTTGTACTTTTTCTCCATGAAGTACATTATATTAATCTGATTTCTGGCTCCAACAACAAAAAGGCAATTAAAACTGTCAACATATGGTCCTCTTTCTCTCTGTAATGGCCCATATGCTTCCCCTGGCAAAACTGTATTGTATTCTGTTAACATGTTATAATCCTGTATATTGTTATGTTTATTTTGTTAGTCTCTTGTGATTTGTATTTTGTTTTTGCAATAATTTTTTTTTTTTTTTTTTACTACACAGAATCCCACTAATCGCCCACGCAATGATTAAATTCAGGCGAACTTTAGCATAAAAACTCTTTGCACAAATAATAACGTTATGTATTCGTTATTATACATAACGAAAAGATGATACAAAATTTAATAACTTGACATTTGAAAATGACATTTAAGACTTTTTAGGGGCCTTAATTTTCTCTAAATTGATTTATCAACTTTTAATACTTTCTAAAACCCCGCGGACACCCTGTATAAAGAGTCTGTGCGCTACAGTACTTTCATTATGGTTGCACTTATTTATTTTTGTTATTTATACTGTTTTCATTTCTAAATTCAATTTGTGTAAATGAGTTCAATTAGGTTGTCACACACAGCCTCAATCAGAAGTTCTGGAAGCTCATAAATGTACAGCAAGGTCTGAAGTGACTCATGTGAAATCATACAGGAGAAAAGCCAGTCAGTTGAGTTTGTGGCAAAACATTTTACAGTGCTGTATATTGTTGTCTTTCAATGTATTTGATAATTCATACTCATAAAGTAGAACTGAAATGACGTGAAATGAAGATTATTAATTAAAACATTTCAAAATGGACCTGCAGACTATTTTTAGTCATGAACTTTTTCACTGAGGATTTCTATTAAATATTGTGCAAAAATCTCATCTCGTTTTCGTGAACCCAATCTCGTGTCTCGTCTCGTGAGATAAGTGTCTCGTCACACCCCTAATATACAGTATATATATTTTTTTTTGCTAATGTCAGTTGAGGTTTCTAGAACAAGTCAGTTTCATTTTCCTGGCTATTTTCCAGCTTCTCTGTGACCCTTAGAATAACAGTTTTTTTCAATCAATTTGACACATTTATGCATCCAAATGTAATACAAAACAAATAATTGAATGATCAATTTAATACACAAATGTCTACTCCAGCTTTTTTAAACATGTTGAGCAAAAGGCTGTACAATATCTTACCTCAGCTGTGAGATGTAGGACAGACACTGAAGGAAACTCTTCATTTCACTCTCTTCCTCTGAACATCCGCTCAGCTCTACTGGTTTCTTCTCTGTCTGGAGTTTCAGCACTTCCAGGAGGACGGAGGTCTTTCTCTGTGAGAGATCTATGATCCAGACATCAGGAGACTGGAAAACTGACTGTAATGCTGGAAGGAAACTCCTGCCTGTTTGAGTCTCATAGTTCTTCACATGTGAGTAAAGATCCAGCAGGAAATCACACTGAACAACAGCATCATCTTTATCATACCACTCTTGATGAAAAGGGAAGGTTTTGTAACTGCACACAGACGACAGCAGAGTAGAGAATCTTGTTCCTGTAACTGTGACATTTTCAACTGCAGCAACACTGAGATTCAGCAGGAGTTTCACTGCAGACTTCTTCATTTCTTTATCACCATAGAACCTAAAGCTGATCAAATACAGAGAAATAAAAATCCTGTTAATTTATGACAACATACAGCATTTATAAATCAACTATATAGTACACAAAAACAATTATTCTGATAATAAGAAACATAACAGCAACATTTATATAAGAGGACAGAATCTAGTGACATTTATCACACTATTTTCCAAGCTCCATATACAGTATAACGTGTAGCGTCTGGACTGAGTCACGATGACCGATTCAGTTCTAAACTTCAGAAAGCTTTGAACCTTTTTAGACTTCTTCATGTAAATCACAGGCCTAGCGCTGATGAGTCTGGATCAAATTTCCCCCATTGTCACTTTAGTGTCCTGGCAGAGGCTGAACAGAAACTCCTTCATGAGCTTCAAAAAGATCTTTATAAACTCAACTTCCCTTCCACGCCAGGAACGAAAGGCCATGTGTCTTAGAAACTGGAGAAACACACCCAACATACAGAGACACACACATTCTTTCCATTTAACTCTTAATTAAGTCATCCCAGAATGTATATGATATATTCCTGTGTGTATGAATGTCCCCAGCTTATATTAGCCTAGTTACAACTTTCTAGTTGTGTTAGTTAAACTCTCAGTGCTTATAGTCAAGTGTGAGAGTGTTTCTCTGCTTTGATATCTTCCAGCCATATCTTTCTTGGTATCGAAATATTCCTCTCGTTACGCCTTAATTAATGATGTTTAGTGTGTTACAATAACATGTATAATACTATGTTTACCATCCTTTGGTGTAAAAACGACCAATTCTGACATCATCATTAAACATGCAGATTCGACTGTCAGAAGGAGACGAAGAAACTCTCTCCCCAGGGCCGGCGCTCCGCACACGCACATCACGCGCTGCGCGTAGGGCACCAAGTGCTTGGGGGGGCACCAAAAAATCTGGGTCGTGAAAAATCATCACAATAGGCTACTAGTATAAATAACAAATAAAATATGTCTAAAGCATGTTAATATACAAAAGCAATACAAAAGTAATATAGGCCTAGACCAAATTAGTCGAGAAAAAGGTGAATCTCATTTTTCGTCTCCCTCTGGTGCCCCCCTTCCCCACCTCCCAGTGGTCTGTTCGATTATGCCTCAATCAATGTCAAATTTGGCAGACACCGACCTCAGACATGGCCTCGGAAAGGCACCAAGAGTCGGGGGCGAAAAAAGGAAAAAGAATAGACAGCGGGATGATACTCGCGCGTCGCTTTGCAGGTAAGACAATGTTTTAAATAAAAATGTTAGTTTTGTAGCGCGGGCGCCCTTGCGTCGTGTATGCATGTCCAGGGGGCGTCGCTAGTAGTAGTGCAAATGATCCGGGGCTTTTTTAGCCCTGCATGTTGAATCTTTTATTTTAACGGGGGTCCGGGGCTTTCTCCCCCGGAATTTTTTTTAACTTGGGCTGTTTAAGATGCAGTTAGTTTGTTTGAGAAGAAAAGGAAGACCGCTTAGATACGATTTTTCATCGGGGTGGGAATCTCTAGGCACCTCACGATTCGATTCGATTACGATTCAGAGGGCTGCGATTCGATGCTAAATCGATTATCAGAATCTTTTTTTTGTGTGTGTGTGACTATAAATACTTTGCTTTAAAAGTACAAAGTAATGACCCATAAAGAATTAACGTACAATATATTTTATTAACATTGCAAAGAACCAACAGGAAAATACATGTGTGTCTGAACTAGCAGCAGCATATTTGTAGTAAATTAATAATATAACAACGACCGGTAACGTTACAGCCGAGTGTTTTTCCTCCTCTGGCTGGAAACGTGTCATTTGGCTTCATGTGTCTTGTTTCCGAAATATTTTAGTTTTACTATACAAAGCTTACAACTAGTGTGGCTCTTGTCCAGCTCCTTTCCCCCTTCAACTTCAGAAGCCAAAATATTTCCACACGTCAGCTTTTAACGAGGAGGGTGTTTGGATTTGGCGCTCAGCCATCGCGTCCGCGTCTGTTATGTGCACGCCACAGACGGTCCGGCCACTGCACTTCCGCGCTTCAGAGTTCCGTCTTTCGCGTTCCGTCAATATTATGTTATTATAAATATATATCTAAAAAAAAATTTTTTTTTTTGAAAATCGATTTTTGACAATTGTGAATCGATTCAGAATCGTCCACGTCCGCATCGCGATGCATCTAAGAATCGATTTTTTCCCCCACCCCTAAAGCAGAAGCATATGGTCAGTGAGGGATCTAATGGATGAAAAGGGTAACCTTTTAGACTATAATGCTTTTACATTAAAGCATGGATTTACTTGTCACCCGAAAGAGTTCTTCACTGTCATTAATGCAATACCTGCTGGCATAAAAATGCTGATGAGATGCGCTCTTTCTTATGCTAAAGTTAAACCAGCTCTTCCCACTTTATTCATTGGAGATATTCATTTTAAAAGTGCCCATTGTACTAACAAGTATATAAGACAGGTCGTCTTAAAAACATGTTATCCCTGTCAAATTAAAAGAAATAAGTTAGATCACATGTTTAATAAGAATACTGTAAAATATCTTAGAACAGCTTATTTAAGTTTTCCTATTCCCCCTAAAGCAAAAGAAACACACTTCAAAATCTTAAATGAAATGAATCCTTCCAACAAACTCTTAAATGAAAAATGTAATATAGATATTGTCCCCTGTTCTTTCTGTAATAACCATTCTGAAGACACTGACCATTTCTTCTTTACATGCAATTTGTCCAAAATCTTCTGGATATAATCAGGACTGGGTGATAGAAAAGTTGTTGATGGTTTTGCTTTTACTTTACAACATATTTTATTTGGAATTCCCAAAGACTGCTGTGTTCATTTCTATTTGATTAATAACATTATAATAATGGCAAAATATTTCATTTGCAAATGTAGATTTTTTAAATCCCTCCAACTATTTGTTGTGTTCAAAAATGATTTAAAGTGTATTTCTAGAGCCCTTGAAGGAATGAGAGATGGGAGTGCGATGAAGCTGCTTGATCTTTTGATTTCATATGATTTGGTGTGATATTGCCCCTTAATTTTACATTTTAATTTTATTTATTTTATTAATTTATTTTTAACCCTAAGTCAATGTAAGATATGATTTCAAATTTGTATTTATTTTTTGTTAAACTGTGTTGAGGCTTTCATTCGATATTCTTACGCACTGTAGAAAGAATACATTTGCCTTGCGTAATTTTGTACTCAATAAAAAAAGAAAAATAAATAAATAAACCTACACAGAATCCCACTAATCGCCCACACAATGATTAAACTCAGGTGAACATTAGCATACAACCTCTTTGCACAAATATACATAACGAAAAGATGATACAAAATGTAATACCTTGGAAAATTGCATTTAAGACTTTTTAATACTCAGGGCCCTAATTTTCTCTAAATTAATTTATCAACTTTTAATACTTTTTAAGACACCACGGACACCATGTATGAAGAGAGATACTTAATAAGACTAAGAGAACACTTATTTATTTTTGTTATTTATACTGTTTTTATGTCTATGTTCATTTTGTGTAAATGAGTTCAATTAGGTTGTCACACACAGCCTCAAGCAGAAGTTCTGGAAGCTCATAAATGTACAGTAAGGTCTGAAGTGACTCATGTGAAATCATACAGGAGAAAAGCCAGTCAGTTGAGTTTGTGGCAAAACATTTTACAGTGCTGTATATTGTTGTCTTTCAATGTATTTGATAATTCATACTCATAAAGTAGAACTGAAATGACGTGAAATGAAGATTATTAATTAAAACATTTCAAAATGGACCTGCAGACTATTTTTAGTCATGAACTTTTTCACTGAGGATTTCTATTAAATATTGTGCAAAAATCTCATCTCGTTTTCGTGAACCCAATCTCGTGTCTCGTCTCGTGAGATAAGTGTCTTGTCACACTCCTAATGTACAGTATATATATATATTTTTTTTTTTGCTAATGTCAGTTAAGGTTTCTAGAACCAGTCAGTTTCATTTTCCTGGCAATTTTCCAGCTTCTCTGTGACCCTTAGAATAACAGTTTTTTTCAATCAATTTGACACATTTCTGCATCCAAAGGTAATACAAAACAAATAATTGAATGATCCATTTAATACACAAATGTCTACTCCAGCTTTTTTAAACATGTTGAGCAAAAGGCTGTACAATATCTTACCTCAGCTGTGAGATGTAGGACAGACACTGAAGGAAACTCTTCATTTCACTCTCTTCCTCTGAACATCCTCTCAGCTTTACTGGTTTCTTCTCTGTCTGGAGTTTCAGCACTTCCAGGAGGACGGAGGTCTTTCTCTGTGAGAGATCTATGATCCAGACATCAGGAGACTGGAAAACTGACTGTAATGCTGGAAGGAAACTCCTGCCTGTTTGAGTCTCATAGTTCTTCACATGTGAGCAAAGATCCAGCAGGAAATCACTCTGTTTAATTCTGTTAGTCTCTTGATAAGGAAAAGATGTGTAAGTGCAGACTGATGATAACAGTTTCAGCATCTGCTCTCCTGTCTGTGTCTCAGTCTCTGCTGCTTTAGTGAAGAGTCTCAGAAGAAATCTGTTTCGAACACTTTCATTCAGATTAGAGAATCTGTAACAAAATGGAAATGAGAAATGTGAATAAATAGAGATATCACAGAAACTTATTTTAGCTATGACTTGACTAAATAAGACAAATTAAAATAATGTGTTGTTTGTTTCCTGTTTTCAGCTCACATTGTTGTAAATAGTGTTAGTCACTAAATACTGACACAGTTATTAACACTTTATATTTACATTACATTTAATCATTTAGCAGACGCTTTTATCCAAAGCAACTTACAAATGAGGAGAGCAATAGAAGCAGTTAAACTAACAATAGGACAACAATATGAAAGTGCTGTGATGATTTAGGCCTACTATGATATTAGACTACATATAATAAAAGATAAATGAATTTCAAACCTAAACCAAACATATTTTTATTCAAAGATCAACAGTCTGTCATTAGTCTTTAGTCTGCCACAAAAAAACAACATTGAAATCATGAACTCAAATGTCATTGCGAAACCCCCCCAAAACAATGACTGTTGTAACAGTGCGTAAATCAGACCTTTCAGGCTATAGCCATTCATATTTTTGAATGAAAATTAGCTTATCGATGCATATCTAAATTCACGACTACGGTATCTTTGTAGAACTTCAAAAAAAGAAACGATGCTGCAGCCAATGAGCAGCCGGCGGGGGCTGAAGGACGACTCAACCTCCACGGACAGCTTGTCATGTTTTATCAGACGACTCAAGATTTTGCTTTAGTATAATTTTCAGGACAATTAGGGCCGGATTTGGGACAACAGCTTAGATTTCAGGACTGTCCCCAATTTTTTGGGAAGTTTGGTCACCCTACTTGCAAGTTTCTGGATGGCACGTGGAGTAATGAGTTTAGGTAAAAGGGAGCAGAGCCAGTGGTTGTTCTGTAGGCAAGCATCAGTGCCTTGAATTTAACTGGTAACCAGTGCAGTTTTGTGAGGAGAGGAGTGACGCGTGCTCTCTTCGGCTCAATAAAGAAGACCTCTCTAGCTGCAGCATCTGGATCAGTTGCAGAGGTTTGACAGTGCAAGCTGGAAGAGAGCATTACAATAGTCCAGTCTGGACAGAACAAGCGCTTGGACAAGGAGTTGTGTAGCATGCTCTGATAGAAGAGCCTGATCCTCCTAATGTTGGATAAGGCAAATCTGCAGGATCAGCCAGTTCTAGCAGTGAACTTTATAATGAATCCATTTTTCACCAAATATATATGAAAAAGTATGTACCATCTTACTTTTTTTACTTAATTCTTAAAGTGTTTAATTATTGAACAACATTATGTGCCCTGAAATGATCAACTTAAATTTGAGACTATTTTTTCTAATCTCAGCAAAACAATGGACTCTATTCAATTTATCAATTATAAACTCCAAATCATTTTCATCTATTTTCTATGCTGGGTAAAGTCGTTAATATTTCAATGATTTGTATTAAAATACTACATTACATAGCCTACAGTTATATTCAGCAGGGACGTGCACAGGGGGGTTGCTCAGGTTGCCCGGGCAACTGCCCATATGCCCTTCTCACTCAAGTTGCCCTTCCGAGAAAAAAATTAAATCGTACAATGGATGCAGAATTTCACGTAGGCCTAGATTAAAAAAAAAAAATCGCAAAGCCTCATTCACTTCCATTCGGGCACCGAAAGTGAAAGTCAGTATGAAGGGCAAACGCTGCACGCGACCATAGACTGCACGCGACCGGCGTAGGGCCACGCAAATTACTTAAGGCCACGCCTCCATCTCGTGTCATAGTCATAGCGCGCCGTCAAATGTGTAGCTACAACATCCACGACAAAATGAAGCGAAACTATCCTTCTGGTCACGAAAAGAGGAAGAAGAAAAAAAAAACATGAGAGTGAATTGCGGGAACAACAATCAGGTAAACTTGTGTTCTCTCCTCTCTAAGTTTGATGTCAGCAAAGTTTGATGTTTTTCGGTCTTGCTAATCTAGCTGGGCAGGCAGTGCATCTCTTGCATCACTTTGTGGCTGACAAAAGTGAGAGTAAAATACAATTATTTATTACGTTTGATTTTGATAAACGACAAAGTGCAACGGTGTTTGTTTACTGCAGCTCGGAAAACATAACTGCGTCGCGTGTGTTATCGTGCGTTCATATGCGCGTTGCCGAAATGAAACTTGCATTTTTCAAGCAGAAATATGTGGAGACCAGACATACTGTACAATACATGCACGTGAATGATGGCACTCCCAATCAAACTACACATAATACTTTTAAAACAAGACACTGATTATCTAGTCTCAGTGTAAAAACTCTAAACAACTGCACTAATTATGCAAGATAGAAAGCAATGTATTGACAATTTGACATTGATTGACTATTGATTTATAGGCTATATTGAATTAAAAATGTTGATTAGCTGGACATACTGGTCAATATGGATGCACATCCCTCAGTAAATAATAACCATAAATCAAGAATTGCTTCAACATGCATAATAAAAAATTAAAAAATCATACTGATGCCGAAAATGCCCAGGCTGTAGAAAGAACCAGAGTTAATCCCAAAAGCCAAAGCTCAGGGTTATAATTTATTATTTTCTTATTATTTATGTTTACGTTAATATTCACTTACTTAATAATATTCACTTATTATCTTAACATTCTATAGAAAATACTCTATTCAATAAATACTGTGTGTTTGAACCTCATTCTGTTCTATATTGTTGTACTTATTCTTTGACTGTTTTGTTTAAAGAAGGGAGGATTGTATGGGAGCGCTGAAGTGTCAGGTGTGACTGTGGCAATGGCAAATGGTTTACATAGCTCAGACATCACGGGTCAGGTAGAGGCCCCTTAGCAGAATTAGGCTTAGGGCCCCAGGGAGGTCAGGATCGGGACTGGTTTTAGCAGTCGATTCTGTTCCCTACCGGAATTCCTGTTCCCTTTACGCAATCATACTACAAATCATGCGTAGTTGCCCAGATGAGCAAAAAGCACAATTGAATGTACGGGAAGCCAAAAGGTTAAAAAAGGATTGTATTTTTTCCGAAATCTAAGCGTTTTTTTTATTTTTATTAGAAGCGAGTTTTTCCCCATCTGTCAATTCAATCCAGATTATTTAGTTAAAAATAATAATAATTAAAAAACAATAAACAATAATATGAGGAACTCTTTTTCTCATGTGTATTTTGGTGACATTTAACATATTGTTAATACATTTTGTATACTGTTTACAAAGTTGTATATCATAAACCTGTCATCTTTGACGTTTGCAATCTTTATAAATAATAATAAGACCATAATGTGAGGCATTGCGTTTGGACATAAACACGATCAGATAAGGCAATTTGTATGGGCAAAATTCAACTGAATATATTCCTTCATATAGCCCGTGAGTTTTGGGGGTAGTGCCCTTTTTTCAGGTCAGAGCAACTGCCCCACAAAATTCCTGTGCACGTCCCTGATATTCAGAGTAGAGCATTTCTATTATTTTGATTATATCAGACAATGGAAAAAACTGCTAAAACCAGACAATTAATGGAGAAAAATTTACTTTCAGATTGTAAGTGACAAAAGGAGAAAGAAGCTTTTTGATTCAACAGTCGTGGACAGATTCTTTATCTCTTATTTTGTTCAACTTGATTTTTTTTTTTCCAGTTTTTTTTTTTATAGTTCTTGGTTTTAAATAGTCAAATTTCTAAACTTTTTAAGGACTGAATCTGTCTTTACTGATTGTAATATAGTATTTAACATATAGATGTGTGCATTGAATTGTGTTGTGAATTCAAATCTTTCACTTGCTGTATTAAAAATGAACATAGTAAATTAGCAATGTATTTCCAAATTAAACCCCTATCCAAAAAAATACATATTTTAAATGTTCTCATCAACGCCTTCCTAAAGAATGCTTAATGATGAAAAAATAAATAACATCATGAATATCAATGCCTGGGTCTCTGAGGGTTAAATCAACAATCAAAAGCATGTAAGTTCAGTTACCTCAGCTGTGAGATGTAGGACAGACACTGAAGGAAACTCTTCATTTCACTCTCTTCCTCTGAACATCCTCTCAGCTCTACTGGTTTCTTCTCTGTCTGGAGTTTCAGCACTTCCAGGAGGACGGAGGTCTTTCTCTGTGAGAGATCTATGATCCAGACATCAGGAGACTGGAAAACTGACTGTAATGCTGGAAGGAAACTCCTGCCTGTTTGAGTCTCATAGTTCTTCACATGTGAGCAAAGATCCAGCAGGAAATCACACAGTTCTGGGTTGTTATTGTGTCTCACGGCAAAAAAGGAGCATCTGCACTGCGATCCTTTATGGAAGAATTCTCGAAAGAATGTGATTTGCTTCAGTGGTTCTTTCCAAACCTTTAATCTGCAACACAGAAATCATACATCAATAATAATAACAATAATTTTAAATTATAAAAAATAAGCAAATTAATAAAGACTATGGCATACTATGGCAATAATTATTTTGTACTGTAAAATAAAGGCATTTAATAATAATACAATTTAAATGTAAAGAACACCAGTACAATTATCATACTTATATTTATGTCTTAATTTCTTTTGGTGAAGACCTTAGAGTATGGTTAGGATTGTTGCATTATTCCAAATAATAGATTGAGATTCACAAACAAATGTAAAGAGATTCACAAAAAAAATGTATCAAATTCACAAATAATAGATTGGGATTCACAAATAAATGTAAAGAGCTTAACAAATATGTATAAAACTCAAATAAATAAAATGAGATTTGCAAATAAAAAAAAATATTTACAAATGTGTTTTATGTCACAAACACACCTCATTTATTTATCGGCAATGGCTCACATTGATGACTGGCTCACTAAGTCATGTCTCCATCTAAACACCAACAAATCAGTCTGTATGGCGTTCACCAAACAAAGCATGAAGGTTTCACATTCTAATAATATCATCATCATTTCCCTATTTTCATTTGATGTGTTATGCATTCTAATAATTGTAAAAACATATTTTCTAAGAATGCCAAGGAAAGAAAGAATAAAAACAAAACAAAAATCAAGGAACTCTCTGTATGATACATTTAGACGTACCACCTTTGGCCAAAATATATTATCAATAACAGGTGGTAAACTTTGGAATAACTTGCCCCTTTCGATACGAGTGTCCTACTTTCAACACCTTCAAAACTCACTTAAAAAAGTGGCTCTTAGAGAACCAGAGATGTACTCATTTTTAACTGTCACACATTTATCAGCCATACACTTTCATTGTTGAATTAAATGTAGTATAATGGTGAATGTATAATGTCTTTGTTATTATGTGTTTTTTGTTTGTATTTATGCATTGTTTGTAATATCAATGTATATTCTTATCCATGTGTATTGTTGTTATAGTGAATGAATGCTGTATGACTGTTGGTTATCTATAGTTAGTTCTTTTTTATGTTACCGGCCTAGGGTGCAGATGAAAAGTAGTATCTTTTTACTAATTCTGGCATATTTACATGGTGTATTATCATACAACAATGTTCATGACTATGCATGGTCCCTATCAAATAAACTAATAAATAAATAAAAATAAATCAATTTGTGAACCGCTTTCTGTGCATTTGTAAATTGCTGCACACATTTGTGAATCTCTTCTTGTGCATTTGTAAATCCCCTCACACATCTGTGGATTTTGAAACACTTCTAGCATCGACATGCAGACACATCCACAAATAAGCGGACTCCACCCACCGTTTCCTCAAGCCAATCAGATAACGGCCACATTGACCACAGCTGAGGCCCATAAAATTGCTACAGTAAAAGATGTTTAAAATTGGGATTTCGTTAGAGATAGACCATTAGACGGGGTATAAAGCCAAGACACATTTTTATGAGCTTTTGAAAATGCCAGAGAAACAGCGCTTACATCTCTGTTATGGGAGCGTTATGGAAGCGTCCCGTTATTCATGATAGAAGACGCTGTTGCTGTGCCTCGTACGGTTACATCATCACTGATGGTCATTTGGGCTCATATTTGGCATTCAACATAATATTTATGTCCTATAGCTATTTATCACCACAGTTGTGCTTTAAAAGATAAAATCATCCATTTTGCCATTTCTCAGCCTAAATCGTGTCGACCCCGTGCGAGGCTACACTGGACAGAGCGAATGTGCAAATCATTCGCAGACTTCAGAAGTAGAATAGGCATCCGTTTACTGTCAGTGAATCATCGTCCAGTGTAGACAGTTTCACAAATTATACATTTTCATAGGCAGCACTAATCAATAAGGAAGATTATGCAGACACTTTATATCTGCAGGTAAGAAAACCGACGTCATGGGCAAAATGTGCTAACATTGCAAACATGTTAGTTTTACATTATTTGAAACCGCTACGGCAGCCGAGAAGATAATGGGCTAATCTTTGCTTTTGACGCGCTGTCGCGCCGCTTGACTCCGGTGTAGAGAGGGATCTGTGATGATCATAATTTGTGTTTAATACTGAGTTTATCCTGATGGAAATATAAAGAGGCCTTAAACTCCAACAATCTTTTGGAAACGGGGGGTTTTAACCACACAAACAGTTCAATTTGAATGAAGCGCCCATTACAGCTCCTTTCAGGGGTGCAAATATCTGCAAAATGAAGCAGATTCACTTGATCAGTTCCCGCTCCGAGTATAAAGACTAACGTGATTGGTTGCAGTGAGAACGTGCTACGATTGGTCATCTTAATGTGGCCGTTATCTGATTGGCTTAAATGGTTATTTGTGGATTTGTCTGCACGTCGACGATAGAAGTGTTTCACAAAGGGGATTTACAAATGCACAAGAAGAGATTCACAAATGTGTGCAGTGATTTACAAATGCACAGAAAGCGGTTATTTGTGGAACTTAATCTATTTATTTGTGAATTTGATACATTTTTGTGAATGTCTTTACATTTGTTTGTCAATCTCAATCTATTTATTTGGAATAATGCAACAATCCTAACCCCATAATAAAGCTTCTCTTTAGTTCATCTCATTGCAGAAGGTTGAAACCTTTTTAAACGCATGATACAAGCGGCCCAAACTTACAGCACTAGCAGAGAAGAGTTTGTGTGAAGCGGGCGATCTTGACTGACAATAGACTCTTGGCAAGTGTTAAAGTCAGCATGAAATGATTGTGACCCTTTTTTTCTTGGGAATTGCTTGTTGGATTGTTGTTGTTTGCTACTGCTTTGATGTCATGTGAGTGACAGGAGGTTGTGGGACTTTATTTTCCTCACGCCAGTAAACACGTCATCTGAGAAGAGATGAGATGTCAGTGTGTGGAGGAGGGGAAGTTATTCTGAATAAAGATTACAGGGGCACATGATTTAAAAAAAAGTAATGTGCACAAATAAATATTTCATAATAAACACTGCATTGTTCCATTTTAATTTCATGGTGACTTTAACTTTGGACACTGGCTGAGATGCTAAGCGTGTTCTGCACACAATCGCTGATGGCATCGTCCGCTAGCAGTCCTGCCGTTTTTCTTGCATTTGCGCTGTAGATAGTTTGATAGATTGTGTCGATAGTTTAAAAGGCTAACACAGAGGACCACCTTTATTCGCAATTGTTTTTGTGCTAAACTTAAAATCCTTAAAAGATACAATAGTGTGAATCTTATTTCAGCAAATGACCTCTCATTGTTACATCGATCCCCAGCCAGTTGTGGTGTAGATTGTAACAACTGAACTCTTTGTATTTGACATAAACTCGCATAATCTGTGATTGTTTTGTACTGTATATGTCCAAGTGAGTTATATTTGTAGCAGACAAATGTGGCCACCATTTATCAAATTTTGAGAGATATAGCATAAACAGCCAACGAATTACCGATGCTCAAACAAAAGGTGTTCATTTATCCCAGATCTCGCCTACAAAATATTTAGTCCTACATAGTAAACTCCCCAGATGCAGATATTTTCACAGGCATGCAAAAATATAATAAAGTAATAAGTAAATAACGGCCTTTAATAAGTAAATAAATACAAACGAGGTGGGCAGCGGGCGAAATAAAGAGCTGGGCCAGATCTGGCTTATATTTAGCACAGTTATTAACAATAAAAACTATGGCACTTTGTGTGAAAAAAGGTGTTCCTCTGTGTTAGCCTTTTAAACTATATAGCCTACTGAATGGACGTTGAGAAGTATATAGTTTAAAAGGCTAACACAGCACAAAATGCAAGAAAAAAGGAAAAATATTCAATATAGCCTACCTGATCTTGGGTGAGCAGCTGAGCATCATGTTCATTCCTGCATCAGTCATGTTACAGTCCTCCAGATTCAGATAAACCTCTTTATCTCTGGACTGAGTGATCACGTAAGCCAAAGCACAACACTGATGGGGGTCTAGATCCTCTTCAGGCTCGAGCTGATGGTCCATCTTCTCCAGGAACATGAAACACGCTTTAGGAGACTGGAGCTCATACAAGCACTGACACACATAGAGAAGATCAAACTCTTCACTTTCACTCTGAGGTTGGAGGAAAGTTTCCAAAAACTTCTCAATGAACCAATCAGATGTTTTCTTTATCTGATCTTCTGGGAAGAGACATTTGATGAGTTTAATGTTGTGTTCTCCCAGAAGTCCACATAGGAAGGGAAGAACATGTTTCATGTGTTTATCTTCCTCAGTCTGACAGAGTTGTAGGACTTTCTCAATTTCACCTGGATGTCCAAGAAGCCACAAAGCTGAGAAGAATTCCTGCATTGTGTTGTGGAGAAACGCACAGTACGTCGTTGCTGATGTAAGCGAGTCTCTTGTTGTGATCATCTTCAGAAAAGCACGAGAAATGTTGGTCTCATCACAGCTAATAAGGTTCAGGGTTTTCTGCATAGTTGCATTAAATGCCTTTCCCATCAAAAAATAAACTTGATCTTTGTTGTCTTTCAAGTATTTATCTATTTGCTCAATTTTTTTATTCACAGCAACACGGAAAATATGGATGTACATTTCTGTGACTGTGTTTGGATGGTTAAAAACGTTGTGGTTTTTAAATTGAATCAAGTCTACAATCATGAATGCATACATTGGCACATGGCTGAGACTGAACAGCTCTTGATTCTTCAAAACAACATCTAGAAGATCAGGATCGTGACCCAACATCTTCTGATAGTAAGCGTTGATAGACTCTTCACTGAATCCTTCGACATACACTTTCAGTGTCGGCCATTTGGAGAAAAGTGGATCATATTCCACCTCTGATCTGCATGTAATTATAATCTTGGCATCAGGCAGGAGCTCGTGGTTCATGATCTTCCATAAGGTGGAATTTTCTTTTAAATCGACTACGCCATCAAATACAATGACAACATTCTCAGAGTTTTCCTCAATTTCTTGAAACACGTCTGTTCTGTCTTTATCCATTGGTTTCAAATACACTTTAAACAAAATAGATTCCAAATCGTCATTGCTAGAACTGTGAGCCAAAACACCTTCATCAAAGTAAAACATGTAGTCCAGCTCTTGGTCCTCTTTCTCTGCCCACAGACGCAACATTTCCTGGACGACTGTAGTCTTTCCTATTCCAGGTTTGCCTATGAGGAGGATGCTTTTATCTTGGCATCTCAGCAGATCCACAGGTGAAAGTGCTTGTTGCTCAGTAGGAATGTAAGCTCTCAGCTTTTTGGGCCGTAGCTTTTTGCATTTTTTGTTTTTCCATTTTATTTTACATTGAGGAGTTTTCAACACAGAGTCTGTCTCTAAAACAACAGGTATAAAATGGAAATTTCCTTGTGCCTTGTCATCCCGATATTTACAGCAACCTTCCCTTTGCTCCTTCAGGATCCTTTTTGCTTTCTTCTTGAGCGCTGACTGGTAGTTTTGACAGGGCTTTGTACCTAAAACAGCAACACAAATAAAGATTTGTATTGAAATGTGTTGATTTACTGTCTTTTTATTGAAATGTTTTTCATTTATCTACTCACCAAATGAATAGCTGACCCCTTCCTCTTCCCATCTGAAGGGAAAACAGCTGATCCAGGAGTGTAAATCAGGATGCAATGTCCTCTTCTTAGTGACATCCAAAATCCTGAGTAATTCATAGCATGCCATTTGTCCTTTGTTAATGACCCAATCCAATATACATCTGGCTTTATCAAACTCTGTCCTCTCGGCTTTGAGATCATCGACCTCATGGTCATTGAAAACCCTCTGCTGATAAAGATTCTCAATGATCAGAGGAAGGTTCTTCATATCAGTCACCAGGTTTCTCCTGGCGTTTTTGAGGAACTCAATAGCAGATTGCCGTGCACACGCCATAATGCAGGCCTTTCAAACCTGAGGTACAAGACAGATGTTTAAGCATTTTCATGCAACAGTATTACATGACTTAATCATATTTATTAGCTGAAAACTGGAGAGATTGGATGCAGCAATTTGAACTGTATCTTATCACGAGCGGGACCTTGTGAAAAAAAAGAAGTCAGAAAAAAAAGTGTGCCACTTTTGTAAACATTGCAGGAGATGATGAAATGAATTGAGGTATTCAACACGTTTACCGTTTGATGATTTTGACAACTTCAAGACATTAAAAGAGCTGTTTGCCAAATACTGTAAACCACGGAAAAACCTGACATACCTGAGACATTTGTTCTTTATTTAAAAAAATAAAGTGAAGGATTGTCAATTTGGAGAACTTACCAAGTCACTTATAAAGGACCGAATTGTTTCTGGTATTACAAATGACCAGATCAGAGGCAGGAAAAAAATATTCTATGGAAGTCAATGGGGTCCATCAACTGTCTGGTTACCGTCATTCTGCAAAATATCTTCTTTTGTGTTCAGCAGAAGAAGAAGAAAAATCATACAGGTTTGAAACAACTTGAGGGTGGGTAAACCATTGAGAAGGAGGAGACTAAACTGCATCAAATTAATTAGAAGGATGAAGTGAAAAATAGAGAGCTGCAAGCTGGAGTGGAACGGTGGACTGAAACACTCAAGTTAACCAGAAGCTGATCGTAAAGTTAGACACAGGTGCAGATTGTAATTTCATATCAGTGCTAGAACTGGATGTGTTAAAGATGACAGAAATGACATGCAAAAATCAAGATTTAAACTAGTGCCGTATTCAGGTCACATGATCAGGCCCTTGGGTCAGCAATGCCTTGAATGCCAGTACAAAGAAGGGCTGCGTCTGAAATCGCATACTCTAGAGTAGGTACTTATTCTGAATAAGTAATTACTTCACAACCGTTAATAAAATACTTGAACAGAAAGGTCTTACATTGTTCAAACATAAGACAGTCGCATCTTCAGAAGGAATAGAAAAGACTTGCTGAAAACAAAGGAGACAGTGTGTCCTTCAACTCAAACTGAAGCTGTGGAAGATAACCTGTTGTTTCACCAAATTTAGAGCAGAATTCAGAGCAGGAACACAACATGGACAATAATGCCAGTGCAAGTTGTTCATCCTCTGTGAATGCCACAAATTCACCAGGCGCTATTGCATCACCATCTTCATTATAGGCAGACACGAGTAACAGCCAGTTCAGTTCAATCACATGATCTCCTGTCATCAATACATTACAGTGGCATTTATTATTATGAAATTATATTTAATTATTAAATGATAATGCAACTGTTGTCAATTTAATATTTAACTCAACGTTGTCATATAAAAAAGTCATACTTCTCTGAAGATTAAGCTCCATGACCCTCGAGTAACACACGATCGCCTCGAGATCAGCCTCCGACTCACAAACACGTGTAAAAACGAAACCAAAACCAAATCACAATTTGTCTCAAGCCGTTCATACCTTTAGTCAAACTTTGTGAGGGCTAGATTAATTCGTGTTTCAAATAGTTTCATTTTCATAATTTATCAGTTTCACAGTATATTCTCAAAAGGCTCTGATGGGTGAACAGACGAAGACATAATAAGGTTTAGCCATTCATGCGACGCGATTATAGAGGAATAATACTTGCCATTCACCTCGACAGCAACTTCCGAGTTCCGACTGTACAGGAAACAGTGGGTGCTCCAATACCCCTCCTCTTTTTTTCTTCTTTTTTTTTCTTTTTTATTGAAGTGTAAAATTTACAATAATGTCTGGCTTAGTCAGAATTCACAAGAATATCAGTGCTAACAGGAAACGGAGCACGTAAAATTACAAACAACTTTAGGAAAAGAAGAGTAAATTAAAATAAAATAATAATAATAAACAAATAAAAAAACTGAAGATAAAGAAACAGTTATGAAACAATAGTTAAGGGGCTTCAATTAATTTTAAGGCATCAATAAAATTAAGAAGTTTTCTCAAAATCAGTTTTGCAAATTCTATCTTGAAGACAGTAAATAGAGGCTGTGTTTTTATACATTTACATTTGTGGATGAAAAATTTACCCGAGATAATTAAAAGTGTTTAAAAGCATTTCATAGTTTTTGTCTTTCATTATAATTCCAAATGTGATGTGATGTCTAGTGAAACTGGAGAGAGACTGGAGATAAGGCTCCAGCCAATACATGTCACACCAGAATGTGTTGCTGTAAGGGCAGAAGAAAAACAAATGATCCGTGGTCTCTATGTTCTCATCACAGAATATACAGTTAGTTAGATCTAAGTTAGTCTTGAAGGATATATATCATTAATATTTTTGAAATGGAGGTCTTTAGCTTTTGGCGATAAAGGTAACTTTAAGAAATCTGTGCGTAGTTTCTTCAGAGAAGAATGACTGAAGATAAGAGAAGCAGCATTTCGGCTGTATTGCATTGGGTATAAAGTCAGAGTAAAGAGATCACGGAACAATTTTTTCTGCAAAATCTTACTATAGAACTGGTGACCAGCAATCATCAATGAAGGGAGAAGAGGGGGGTTGAACAAATTAGGCAGTGCATTTTTTGCCATCAAAAGGAAGGCATAAGGGATGCTTTGCATTATTATAATGTTTACGATTGCACTGAAAATTACATTTTGCACCAAAATCTTCAAAAGATAAAACATTGCCTAATTGTCAGTAAATGTGTGACAGACCAAATGTTGTTATCCATCCATTCACTGAAATACAGGGACTTATTTCGAAAGAGAATGAATCTGCAATTCCAGATGGGTACATCGTGGGGAGTAAAATTGTGTTTGTACAGTAGTTTCCAATATAACAGAACTTGGGAATAAAATGCAGACAGCTTTACAGAAAGTTTTGGAACCTCAAAATCACAGCGTAAAAGAAAATCAATAGGCTACCTCCAATTGTTTTAAACAGTTCCCTGGAAACACAATACCAGAAGCTACTACTGTTTGCTAGAAAGCATCTTAACATTTAGTCTTTAAGGTTCCATTTATACAATCAAAGTCTATGGCTTGTAGCCCACCATCTTCATAGTCTGTCACTATAGTGGGGTTTTCTTTTCCAGATGTAATCAAAGTTTAAAGTATTGACGGTTTTAGCCGCTTTTTTGGGGATAGATAAAGAAAAGGCTGGGTAAATGCACCTTGAAAGGCTTTCCATTTTATATAGATGCGACCAAACAGAGAAAGATCTCTGTTTAACCATCTGTCTAATCTTGATTTACGTTCATCCATTTTGTTCCATACATGTAATGTTTCACTCAACTTAGTATCTTTGGTTATATGTATAAGTATTTAACTGCAGTTTTAATAGGGATACCAAATGCTGCCTCAAGGTGGCAGTCATGTATAGATAACTCACATTTTTTCAGGTTCAGTTGTAACCCAGATGCTTTTGAGAATGAGTCTATAGTTTCAGTAGCCTTTGGGACCTGCTCAACATTTTTAAGAAATAAAGTGGTGTCATCAGCCAGCTGACTTATAACTATCTGGTTATCAAAGACAGTTAACTGTTCAATATCTGAATTTTTGACGAGGATTGATAACATTTCAGCTGCAATAATGAAAAGTGAGGGTGAGATGGGAGAGCCTTGTTTTATACCTCTGTTGATGGTGAAGCGAGGCGTAGTGCCACCTGAAAGAGATATTGAGCTGTTGGTGTCGTTATAAAAACATTTTATAGTGTTTCTAAATTTTTCCCCAAAACCACAGAGTTCCAGAGCCTTAAAGATAAAGGGGTGTTCTCTAGCGTGTCAAACGCCTTATAAAAATCCAAAAAGAGAATAAAGCCATTGTCCTTTATATGCTCATTATATATTCAAGTAAATCAAGGACAAGGCGAACGTTATTGTGTATTGATCTACCTCTCATAAATCCTGATTGAGTGTCACTTATTATTTGAGGAAGACCCTCTTTAAGACGATTTGAAAATATGTATGTTAGCAATTTATAATCATTGTTTAATAGTGTTTTCGGTCTCCAATTGTCCAAAATTTTGGGATCTTTGTTTGGTTTTGGAATGAGAACAATTACATCTTTCCTCAACGTCTGTGGAAGAGATTGGTTGTTTAAAGCTTCTTTACGTGTTTCAAATAAAAGTGCTTTGATATGCTCCCAGAAATGTTTATAAAAGTTGGCTGTCAGGCCTTCTGGGCCAGGGGAGCGGTCAGAAGTTAGACATTGCAACGCCTTTTCAAGCTCATTATACGTCATTTCTGCCTCACATGTATTTTGGAAGTCCTCATTTATTTGGGGAATAAAACCTCTGATTATATTAAAGAAGCCTCTGTTGCATCAGCCGAGAAACTAGAAGAAAAAAGTTGCTGTAAAAGGAATAAACTTCATTGGTTATAGTTTTAGGATCAGGGCATTCATTTTCATTAATGACCGTGTTCCTATGTTATTTCTTTCCTGGCGAGTTTTTTTCTAATCTACAGAAATAAGAAGAGTTTCTCCTTCCTTGATCCATTTTGCTCTGGATCTGATGAAGGCTCCATTTGCTTTTCTTGTATAAATATTATCCAATTTGGTTTGTAGTGTAAGTAGCCTAGTTT